TCTTCCGTGGGTTAGTTTCTAATCTCTGCAGTGCAGTCGTGTGTTTTCTCTGCCACTGCTCTCACCCAGCCTCCACTCTCCCACCCCACTGCTGTGCCCTCACCTCTGTTCTGCAGGGCTGTTCCGCACACATGCAAAGTGACTGAACAGACCTTGAGATGCCTCCCCTGTCCCAGTGCAAGGGCCCAGCTTGGAGGAATGTCTTTCTGGGACTCCCAGCCTCAGTTCCTACCCTCTGCTGCTGCTCTTCCTCACTCACTGGCTTCTCCACAGCATTGCTACTGGAGAGGGTTATGCAAATATATGCAACCCAGGGCTCATCTTGGAATAAATCAATCTAAATTAAAATTAATGAACAAAAAGTATGGAAACAGATCAAGCAGTAAAGCCATTCTCTCTCTTTTCCCCAGTGTCTCTCCTTCTTCTTTAAGAAAGATGGTTTCTTTTATTTACATTTGTTTTTTTGGGGGGGAGAAGAATGGATTTTAATTTTTTAAAGCAATCTCAGCAAACAGAATCTGTTGCTATTCAGAAAAACCTATCAAGCAATGTTAGTAACAAACAATTCTTGTCATTTCTCTTTTCTCTAAGATGCTCCTTCCAGCTGCATCCTTACTACCCCTTTTGGAAAACACTATCATCACCTCTGGCTTCAATTTTATTCACTTCAAACCACATGGTCAAAATAAGATACACCACCATCCCTTGCTTGTTATGAAATAGCAAGAAACAATTAATATGACGTTGGCCTTCTGCCTTCACCCTGCCCTGTCCTTCCTGTTCCCTTCACCTGAACCCCCACTTGGCACCCAATGCAGCACCAGCCTTCAGTGCCTGCAGACGTGGCAGGAACGGACACTGACCCAAGCAACAAGAGAAGCTTTGCCTGCCTCAGCACCCATCCTGCTCTTCACCACCCCCTTCTGCACTCACCAAATGGAGAATGAGCTCTTTGGAGAACCTTGCTGGATACCAGTAGTGGGAAGCAAGGAATGCTGTGGGCTGTGCTTCCCACCAATGGCCATAGGCTTTATCAGATGCTGTGCTACAAGAAGTCAGGCACACAGTTGAACTATGCCCCTGAATGCCTGAGAATCTGTGGACATACCAGACTTGCACATGGCTCCAAACATGCTCTCCTGCACTTGGTTCCTATGGCCATCATTCTTCTCTGCTAGTGGTTTTTGTGTTAGGATCACAATAGGACAACATCAGCTATTTTGGCCTCCTTGTGTCGCAGTTTCCCCAGCTCTGCCAACTAGTTTGTTTCACAGGCTGCGAAGACTTGGGTTTTCACCCCTTCTTGGAGCCCATTTGGGAAAGCACCCTCTGGTCTCAATGGAGTCCAGAGATGGACAGGTTCTTTAGTTGGCCATTATCTAAAGAAGTTAGTGGTTCTTTGGCTGGCCACATTGTACTGCAAGGGCTGGTTTCTGTGGACTGTTCCCACACCCCTACCTAGTCAGCAAGCCCCAAACCATAAAAAGTTAATCTTTTATAACCTGTACTCTCTGATGTATCCCCCCATGCTTCTCTCCTTAGCTTCGAAATACTCTAATGTCCACCCTTTTGCCAAAGTGACAAGAGAGCTGCCTGCTCAGCAGAACTGACAGGGCCATGCACTAGAGAAAGGTGAAGGAGGAACAGACATGGGTGGAGGTGACCACTGCAACAGATGAGCTCTCTTCTGCAAAAGCTTGGACTTCCATAGGAAGGGAAGAGGACTGAGAAGGTATTAGAAAGAAAGATGCTCTCTGTTTCCCGCTCTGGTCATCAGACCCAAATGAACATCTCTTTTCTCCCTTCTGCCAGCTCCCACCCACCCAGTGAAGGCATTAGTGACAGTACAGGCTAAGCAGGCCACAGGCAAACAG